CAGAGAAGCAGGACAATACAACCCATAAGAAGGAAAAAAAACTAATTCAGGAGAAAAAAATAGACCCAAAAGAAGAAAAAAAAATCATTCCAGAGAAAGAAACAGACCCAGAAATGATTCAGCTGATAGAATGAATAGACAAGAACCATTAATAGGTACTATAACTATATTCTATTTTAAAGAAGATAGAGGAAAGATGTGTTAAGTAGAGAAATGGAAAATATATTAAAATATTCAATTAACTTCTAGTGATGAAAACTAAATAATACGATACAAAAAATACACCAGATGGGTTTAATGGCAGATAAGACATTATTAGAAGAAAATATGAGCAAACATGAAGGTGTATCAATAGAAAGTATGCAAAATGAAACAGAAAACAAAGACAAGAAAAAATGAAAAATGAATAGGGCACCAATGAACTGTGGACAACTTTAGGCAATATTAAGGATATGTGAAGAAACTTTGGGGATTGTATGTGTTCAATATCTTTATGACAGTGATAGTTTTATAGGTGTACTCATGTCAAAACTCATCAAATTGTATGCTTTAGACATATTGTTTGTTATACTTCAGTTATGTCTTAACCTTGGTTTAAAAAATCTGAAACTGTCACAAGCAATTTGATGGGGGTTCTTTTGCTCTATCCAAATAAAAGTCATGGATAGGTAAAAAGTATTGATGGCCTTGAGTCCCAGAGGCTGACAAGTTGGGCTTCCAAACTCAAAGCTGATAGCTCTAAGCTCCAAGAACTAGAAGCTTCTGGCTTCAAGCTGTCAATACCAGAGGTTTATTGCTTTAGGTGCTCACGGCAGAAGCTCATTGCTCTGGGCTTAGAGAGCCAACACCCAGAGCTAGAGTTGCAGCTCTTGAGCCTCTGCTCTCTCATACGTTTCTAGTAACAGGGACTTGTAGTCTTTGTAGTCTTAGTGCCCACCTTTGACCCTTCACAACCTCTTGCCTTCTAGTCTCAGCTTCTCTCTCATCTCTCACCACCTCAATATGTCTATCATCCTTCTTAGTCTTAACTTCTTGCAGTTTCTGTTCTTTGATGCTCTCTGGAACTCTTAGCTGCAGTCTAGTGTTATAGCTCAGAGCCTGTATCAGAGCTCTCAGTGGCTCTCTAGAGCCCTTAGGCACCCCCTCACTGCTAATGCTACTACTACTACTAGGGCTAGAGGCCTTGGGGTTTTGTCTGTTCTTCATGCAACCAGCTCAGCCCACTCTACCTGTGATAAAGCATAAGTACATAAAAGACCATTTAGGAGAAGCCTTTATTGGACCTAATGCTCCCACACTGAAGCTTGGGTGCTAGTACAGGGAGAGAAACCTCCCAGACTAAACCCCAAAGTGTGAAAATATCCTGCTTAAATAACCAGATGTATGTTGTGCTTGTGTACTAATTAAAATTCCTCCAATAACAGCCTCACATGTGCATAGCTTCTAGTTCCACTAATTGCAAGCCTTGTATAAGCACCAATCACAAGCTTTTTGCTGATCACGGAGGAGGTGCTCTCCCTCCCATTCTGAGAATAGCTGCAGGATGAGCAGGGTCATCTGGATGTCACCAAGGCTTGTCATGACTGAAGTTTTCCCACTGGTGCAAGCTGGAGCAGTTGTGACTGGAAAAAGACCTCCTAAACCAGAAATTGTGACTTCAACATCATCCATGGTGGCAGTGTTCGTTACACTGTAGAGTAGTTTCTTCAAGCACCAAGGAGTGTCACAGTAGTGTAATGGTAATCTAGATGGTCACCAAAAGTGGGACTGCTCAGTTAATAGCCAGCCACTAAAGGCAGCTGGGCACAAGAGAAGGGTCCGTCAGCTGTCATTCAAGAAGCTGAACAACCTGCTCCTGACAGTTTTGTTCACTCACAGGGAAAATAATTAAAAGACCTTACAATAAATACCTAGGAAATTAACATTTCTAACTGTATTTAACAGTGCTTAATCCCTAGCCAAATACTCATAGAAGAGTTGGATCCCTCTAACCTGTCTCAAAACTAAAATCTCAGATGACATCAACATGTCAGATGGACGTGGGATAATTAAATGGGTAAAGTAGGACATTGAGTGGAGAGAAGAATTAGTTTTCTAAGCTTCTTGTCTTTTTAGGAAGGGGGGGTTGGGTACCTATTAAATGTAGAAATTGTTATACAAATAAAAGTCTTAAAACAATTGCCTTAAGATTTATGGGTAACTATGAAGAAATATGGAAAGTGTAACTTTGAAACCAGTGGAAGAGAAAGTAGAGCAAAAATATTTGTTAATTCAAGTAAAGCAGAAAAGGGAGAAATACTGCTATAAGCATAGTTAATAGACATTGATGAGAACTGAATAAAACTTTTATTCAAAAACCTAGAAAAAGAAACATAGAACAGTCTGAAGTAAGTAGAAAGAAGGAACAGGATAGAGTAGCTCATACCTGTAATCCTAGTTACTTAGGTGGGTTGTAGTTCAAGGCCAGCCTAGGCAAAAAGTTGTGGAGACCCTATCTCAAAGAACAAGCTGGGTGTGGTGGCTCACATCTCTAATCCCAGCTATGCAGGAGGCAGTGATAGGATGATTTTGGTCAGAGGCAAGCCCCGACAAAAAGCACAAGACTGTCTGAAAACTAAAAGCAAAAGGGGCTGGAAGTGTGGCTTAGGTGGTGGAGTGAGACCCTGAACTCAAATCCCAGTTTCACAAAGAAGAATTAGTAAACTTAAAGCAAAAAATGAGTGAAAAGGGAAAGGAAAACTGTAAAGTTGATCAATAAAGCCAAAACTTAGATTATGTAAATGAACAATAAAATAAACCACAGCTTGACAAATATCAACAAAACTTGGAGAGTATAAATAACATTAGGGTAAAAAGGAAGGAGACAATATTCATATGTACATTTTTTAAATTACAAGGAAATATTGTATTTTTTTTTAGTTTAAAGGTTTTTTTTCTATTTTTGTTGTTTTATTATTCATATGTGCATACAAGGCTTGTGTATTTTATTTTACACCAATAAAATAAATAATTTATTTTATTGAGCCATAATTTACACACAATAAAATGTACACATTTTGGTATATAGTTTGATGAATTTTAACGTATACTGCTTGTAAATACCAGTACTACAAAATACAATTTTTTCCCTAAAGTTTATTATTTACTTATTTGGCAGTGCTTGGGATCAAACCCTGGGTTTTGTATATGCTGGGCAAGTGCTCCATCACTGAGCTATACCCCCAGCCCAATTTATAAAATATTCTTGCCAACATAGGATGTTTCCTGTGTTAGTTCTCAGTCCATCCCTTCCTGCCTTCAGGCCCCAGGTTATTGTTGATCTGATGTCTGTAACTATGATTTAATCTTTTCTGGAGGTTTGTATGCATTGAATCATATAGCACATGCACTTTTATGTATGCGTTCTTCCATACAACATTTCAAAATTCATAATGTTGAGTGTCAACACTAATTCAGTCCTTAGTAGACTACTATATGGATATACCACAGTTTCTCAGTTCAGGTTGATATTTCAAGTTGTCCATTTTTGATGCTCTTATGAATACAGCTGCTCTGAAAATTCATCTACAAGGCTTTGTGGGGATAGTTTCATTCCTCCTAAGAGTGGAATTGCTGGGTCCTACGATAAGCATAAGAAACTCTTAAGTAGTTGTCTCAACAATAAGGTCTGAAAGTTTCAGATGCTTCACCTCCTCACCAAATCTTGTATCAACTCCAAATGTAATAGACAATTTTCTAGGAAAATTACAAAATTGTCTGGAGAAAATTAGGAAGACTGAAAAGACTATAATCCATTCAAGATACTGAAAGAGTAGTCAAAGGTCAGCCCCACCCCACTCTCCAAAGATAAACCAGGATCAGAAAGTGTTTGACAAAATTCTGCCAAATTGTCAAGGAATATAGACAATTCCCATCTACTATTCAAATCTAGAGAAAAATGGCAGTTTATCTTATGAAGCTATCACCACCTGGTATCAATATTTGATAAGCGAAGACCATAAAATCTGTAATTATCACAACAATCAAGGAAGCAAAATTCTATATTAAATATGTTTTACAAACATCAGCAATGACCCATGATCAAGAAGCATTTATACTAGGAATGGCAGAATGGTTCCATATTGGAAAATATCTATCAATAGTACTCATATTAACAATAGATAAGACCATGTGGCTATCTGGAAAGATGCACAAAAGACATTTAATTTTAAACTTATATGATTTAAAATCATATAAATACCCTGCCTAGATACAACATTAGAGAAAGAAATTTCCTCTGAGAAACATATCCAGGAATTTCGAAACAAATCAACGGACACTAAACCAGAATGAGAGCTCAGTATTACTAAATACACAGCAACCAACACGGAAATCAATACCTTCTCTACATCACCACTAATTAGACAAGAAAAAAAGAAATCTTTCATAATAGCTCCCAAAATATTGTCACCTAGTAATGACCTTTATGAGGAAATCTATAAAACTTTATTCAAGCACATTAGATCTCAGCCTTTTGCAATGTGTTTTTTAAAGGCTTGTTTTAAATAGTATTTTAAAATTTGGAGGAAAGTCTGGGGATATAGCTCAGTCATAGAGCACTTGCCTACCCATGCTCAAGGGAACTGATTTAATCCCTAACCCGCACCCCCCCTCAAAATTAGTAATAATAAAACAATTACTGGTTCACTTGTTTTGTCATCCTTTCACCTGCTCAATTATAAAATTCTTGGGTAAGGACTTTATTTGTGCTATTCTTCACTGTCTCCCTCTAATACTTCTCAGAGATTAGCATAAAAATGCTTATTTCTCTTAGCAAAACTTGGACGAATTTAAAACACCGGCTAATCTTTTTTTTCTACGCACTCAGACACATTACGCAACAATGTGGAGAAAACGAGCCCAGACTTCCACGTGACAATGCCCCGCCTATGACTCATTTCAGCCAATCAGGATGCGTCTCACCCGTGCCTCCCCTTCGCCTCGCTCGCGGTCCCCAACAGCTGCACGAGGTGGAATCTTCCGGTTTCGGGCTGTTTTTCCTCCAACGGGGGTCAATGGTGCTGGGTACTGAGCGCTGATTGGCTGAGAGCTGGTGTCCTGCGCATGCGCAGGCCCCTTCCTGGTTACTAAGGGCGGGAGCCCGGCGAGGGCGCCGGCGGCTTGATGTGCTTCAGGCCAATTTCGAAGCCTGACGGTGCTCACCATGCCGAACCGCAGGGCTAGCCGCAATGCCTACTATTTCTTCGTGCAGGAGAAGATACCAGAACTACGCCGGCGAGGGCTGCCAGTGGCTCGTGTGGCTGATGCCATCCCCTACTGCTCAGCAGACTGGGCGGTAAGGCAGCCTTGGAGGGAAGCGAGGCGAGCCAGGCCCAGCGGGGCAGTTGGGCAAGCATGAGGGTGAGGTGGTGAGCAAGAGACCTCCACGAGGCCACTGACCCCTGGGCCTCGAGCATGACCCTTCCGGACGGAGCGGGTGGTCCTTGACCCGGGGGCAAACTGACGCGGGAGTCCGCATCCCTGTTAATGCCCAGGCGGCTGCCGCGGGGCCGGGACCCCGGATCTTCACTGCAGCTTTTGTTTTTTTCTCTCCCATTTCCCAAAGCTCCTGAGGGAGGAAGAAAAGGAGAAATACACAGAAATGGCTCGAGAATGGAGAGCCGCCCAGGGAAAGGACTCTGGGCCTTCAGAGAAGGAGGTAAATTTCGCGAGAGGAGTGTCATCGCCTGTTCGGAGTGTTGGTCACTCGATGCGACGCGGGGGACGGGTCAGGGTCAAGGGCGACGGCTGGACGGTGAGGCTGAGCACAGAGAAGAGTGTGTTGTGTTCTTCCTGGTGTCAGAGTGTCTGTTAATAAAAAAACAGCAGGCTCCGTAACTGGTGTAACCCACACTGGAATAATTGGTGGTGAAAGGCCTTAAGGAATTCCTCTTTGGAAACTTCCAGACCATAAACCTCATTAGCAATGGGAGTATTTGGTGTTCAGGAGTTGTACTAAATGACTCCAAATGTCCCTTTCAACTCTTTCATGATTAAAGAGCTTTTCCGTGTTTGGGTGCTTACAAGTAATTTAGACTATTGTTTTAAAATGACATTCCGAAATCAGGCCAGGTGCTGTGTTTTAAATATTGGCATAAGACTGGGCGATGTTGGTGAATGTTTATATACCTTACAGGTGGTAAAAGAGTTGGATAAAGTTTATTTGGGTAAATTTCTGTGTTATAGAATGTGTCAGGTTCTATTTTTTTTTTTTTTGGCTGTTCGTACTAGGAAAGTACAAGGTGATTATGAAGTTGTTCCCCTCTTCCTCACTTTGTGTTTTTTTTCCATTTGTGTATACTGAAATTTCATCTTAAACGATAACATTCAGTTGAAATTCAAGAGAGTTGCTTGGTTTAGGTTTGACACATTTTTATGTTGTGGGTTTATGTTTGAGTAGAAGCTCTAATCAGTTGAATAGGTACTTAGTTCTACTTGTGAGCCTTGATTTTTCTTTTTATTGAGTTTCTCATAAGAATTTCTCCTCAAAATTTAATGCATGTGTGTATCTCATGTGAGAGTTGGTTTTTCCAAACAGGATATTAGTGGTCTTTGGGAAATTGTATTCCTTTGGCTTGGCATATAGTGATAGGTGACTCGGGAGCATTAACTTAAATAATCACTGGACAAATGGCTTCCATTAATAGTTGAGTTGGTATTTACTGCTCACCTTCTAATTCAGAGTAATTGTAGATTTTGCTGTTATCTGCCTTTGAATGTTGGTGCTACTGACAAATGTGTTTATTTATTCATTGGGTTCATTGGCGTTCAGAGATTATTGAAGTAGACTATGGGCTATTTTGAAGTTAATTTGTAAATTTTAAATATATGCTCTAAAGTATCCAGCAAGAGCTTAAGAATCATTGATTCTTTTCCTCTTTAGAAATCCTTTCCCACACCACTGAGGAGGCCAGGCATGCTCATACCAAAGCAGAGTGTTTCACCCCCAGATATGTCAAGTTTGTCTCTAAAAAATGATCAAGGTAGAGTATTCTGAAAATATTTTGTTTCATTTGTACACTCAAAACACTGTGACATATTGATCAGTAGAAATGTTTTATGTTCACTTTGATCTTCCATTTCAAAGCAACTGAGAAGTGTTTAAATATAGCATTAAAGTTTAAAAGATAAGACAGTTTTGTACTTGCTGCAATAATACTGGGAGTTTTTTGGTAACAAAAATCTGGTCTGTTGGTTTTGGCCACTTCACATTATTCAGCATAAATATTTCTTGGACTTGTTTATAACTACTCAGATGCTCTTAAAGTTATAAAGATAGACAGAAGGAGTAAGTTTTTGAGATCTGTTGTCCAGAATGGTTACTGTATGTAGCTAATGTATGTTTCAAAAACGCTGAACATTGTTTGCACTACGAAAAAATATGTGAGGTGATAAATTTGTTAATTAGCTTGATTTGATCATCCCACAGTATATAAATACATGAAAACCACATCATACCCTATAAAATTTTTATTTTTTTATTTAGTGGCAAATAATAATTACCTGTCTTATTATTTGCCACTTAATAATAAAAAAATTTAAATATCCTGTGTGGTAGGCATGAAGGTAAAGATGATGCTGCCCTAGAAGCTAGCTGTTGTTCCTTCTGGCTGGTTGTAGTTGTGTTTGCCTTTAATTATTACTAGTAAACTTTTAACATTGGTCGTCACTGTGGTCAGTCCTGGTAAATAACACTTCACACATTCTTGCATTTCTTTTGTCCCCATTTGTAGGTGTATATGTTGTATATATTGGTAAAAAGTACAAAACAAATGAACTAAATTTTCCATGGTTTATAGTCTTTCAGCACTGTCTGCTTGACTTTATTTCCTAAACCTTTTTATTTGTTGAATATATGCCACAACTTTTCTTAATGTCGTTTCTGAGATTCAGGGCTGATCTGTAGTTGAATTATGCAAAGCAAGTTTGAATAATTTTGTTGCTTTATATACAGAATGGTTACTGCTTTAATCCTTGATAAATGTAATTGTAAAAATTTTGACTTGTTTATTTGATGCAAATGAGTTTTCTCTTTTTCAGCTCACTTAGAAATCTAGGAACACAAAGAAAATGGTTCTAAAGAGGCTTTAGACCTAAAGAGGCTTTTTGGAAGTGGTAAAGTTGAGACACTCATGGGTTTTATTTTGTTTTGTAGCTCTCCTTGGAGGCATTTTTTATTTTTTGAACATTTTTAGCCATGGTGAGCTACCTCCTCATTGTGAACAGCGATTCCTCCCTTGTGAAATTGGCTGTGTTAAATATTCTCTCCAAGAAGGTGTTATGGCAGATTTCCACAGTTTTATAAATCCTGGTAAGTAGCCAGCTAGAAAGTAGATGCTAGATCTTTAAAGTACATGTATTTATCTTTATTTTAGTATTTCTTTTCTTAAAAGCTGAAGTACAACAGTTCTTAAACTCTGTAACAAGATTTCATAATACTTAATTGAAAACCATTATGAATTAAGTATTGTCATGGGTTGTTGGTTTTGACTTATCAACCTTGAGTAAAAGCATTAGAATAGGGTGGCTGGAACACCTGAGAAATGCATATCCTGCCACTTGTTTACCTGTAGCCTTATATATTGGGATGTTTTTAAAAGTTTTTTTATACTTTGCTTTTTTCCTTTCTTTACCCCATTCACCTCAGTGGTTACTAGTTTTTAAGCTGCTGTTGCTTTGTAACTTTGAGAAAAGGAAACTTCTTAAACCTCTTTGAACCAATTAGCTCATTTGCAAAGTGGGGATTAATACCTACTGGAGGGCTGTTACAAAGAATAGAAGAGCTGGGTGTGATAGTACATGCCTATAATCCCACTACTCAGGAGGTTGAAGCAGAAGGATCCTGAGTTTGAGGGCAACCTGGGCTATATAGTGAGAGACTGTCTTAAAAAATACAGTTGAGAAAGTATGGAAATAGCCTAGCACTTTTAGCATCTCTTTCCACTAATTCACCCCCATTAAAAGTGAAATAGTTGTGCACACCTGCAATCCCAGCACTCAGGAGGCTGAGGCAGGAGAATCTTTTGAGGCCAGCCTGAGCTACATAGTGAGACCCTGTGTCAAAAAACCAAAACCATCCAAACAACAACAAAGGAAGTTAGTTGTGAAGACATAGCATTTAGCTCAATTTCCAAGAGGATAGACTGTTGTTAAGGGAATATTATATTCTTGAAAGTAAAGGAAATACATGCAGAGAAGGAGTGGTTGGGAAAAGAACTTTGTCTTTACTTGTCAATTTCTTTAAAACTAATTAGGACATCCTCATTTTTAGGTGACAGAAAAACTAGTTCAATTCACACTTGCAAACCTTGCTGCTTAGGACAAGTCAAATAGCTATTTTTTTTTTTCATATGGGTTTAAAGTACTAAAAAGAATTTGGGGATTTTCTTTCCTTTGAGACACTTGATATAATGGCAGGGCCTCACAACTCCTTGAAGCCCATTTATACATCCCTAGCTAAGACTCCTTTGGCATAAGCTCTCATAGTAGAAAGCTAGTATTTCTTTCTCTATAAGGAGTAACTTGTTTTTAAAAGACGCTTAGACAATATACCAAAAATGTTTGATAGTCATCATACCTTTTGGTTTGAAAAAAACCAAAGTTTAAGTATTTTGTGTTCTCATATAATAAAGATTACCTGCGCATATTATGACCTGGTTACCCTATGGAGTATTACAATAGAACAACTAGAGAACACCCAGATTTCTTCCTCTCTCAACAAAACTTTTATATTGTAGGTGAAATTCCACGAGGATTTCGATTTCATTGTCAGGCTGCAAGTAAGTATAAAGGAATAGGATAGAATATAGCAACTTAATGCACGAATACCTGGTTAACACTCCTTTAACACATAAAACGTAAGCTAAGGGATGATGAACTTTAAGTTATTGTTAAAGAACTTTCATAGAAATGATAGATGGGTTGTATAATCTTCAAAAACTTTGTAGACCTGTAGTATAATCTCCTCTTTCCAGGGGAGTGTGTTTTATTTTCTATATAATATGTATCCTTGGGTTTCAGGGCCAGCTGCTTTTAGTAGCCAGGTACTTAGAAAAGTCTTCTTGAGAGATTTCAGATTGTGTAGATTTAGGGCCGTTTATAAGCACTGTCCATTCAAAAAAATTTTTCAAGTTTATGCTTCAAAAATAATAGAGTTGGAAACAGACAAAACTGAGTGTTTAGATGAGGAAAGCAGACTTTTAAGTATTTTGCAACCAGAAGGCATGACTGTATTTGCCCAAGCCTTTGAACTCTTTCCTAGAAGCTAGGCTGTAAGCAGTGTCCTGTTGGATTAGAATGAAAATCATAGTAGGTTTATTTTTTAATTTTAATTAATTCAACAGTATCATTGTTAAGGGATCATTTAGTGATCCTATATTTAAAGGTTTTTTTTTAAGGGTGAACAATTAGAGTATAAAGTGTATATATTTATATAGTTATTAATGGAAAAAAGATTTGTGATATAGAAGAAAAATCCATAATTGCTTTGAAATATAAATACAACTAAATCTCCCAAAGTGTTTGAGCTACTAAATAGTTGGTAGTTTAAAAAAAAACAAACACATAAGTAGAAACTTAGCTTATGAATTAATTTTCATATTTTTACAGAAACTGTGTTTCTAGTTTGTATATCCAATGCATTGGAATCCCTACTGTGTGCCAGACATTCATTTGTCAGGGTATCACTGGCTTATTTTAATTATGATAAATCATTTTTTAAAGTTTTATTTTTAAGGCTTATTTTTACAATATTTTCAGGTTAGCCATATTAACTGCAGTATGGGATTTTTTTTAAAAGCCTACTAAAGACTAGAAATGTTTTCTTAATTTATTATTCCTCCTAATTGAAACTGAGTACAGTATTTCTCATTCAGGGAAACTTAAAATGTTTGGAACTCACCAGTTTAAGCGCATATCTTAAGTTGGCAATTGGATAACCCTGGGAAATATGCCAATTAAATAGGATAAATGACCATTATAGTGACAGCTATGTCAACATAATAACTAGAAGTGCCTGCGCTAATATAATTGAGCTGATTTGGAGCAGACGATGTTTATACAGTAACACTAAAACAAGCTTACATAAGAATGTGATCCATTTAAGTAGTAGGGACACCTATATAGATCTCTCAAATGACCATGCTGCTTGACCTTTCAGGAAGTATACTAAGTGAAATCAAGTCACTGCTGCTTCTTGAGCATATTAGAATCATAAAGAATTTCAGGATTGGAAGGGGTTTTGATAGGGAGCCCAGTGAGCTTTTCTCCCCCAGTTGTGCTTCTCCTGGTAGGAGGTGCTTAAGTTCTGTTTGAGTGCATAGGTAGGAGTCTTGACTCTTCTCCCCAACTTCAGCCAAAGAGAAGCTCTGCTTTCTTTCCACTTTACTGGTTAATGATTTTCTTTAACAAAGTTCTACTGTAAAAGAAGCAAAGCTTAGAGTACTGATTTCAGCTTCCTATACTAAAGGTTCATCAGCTTTGCAAATGAAGCTTCATATGCAGAAAATGAATGTAATATTCACTTCAGGTATAAAGAATATTAATGAATTGTAATGCATCCTCCAGTCAGCTGAAAGAATAGCACATTGCCAATACCAGTGACAGTCTCTGTATATCTCTCCCTGATTACATACCTTTCCCTGTTTATAAGAGAACAACTTTGAGTCTTGTCCCATACTGAAATCCATAATTTGATCTCCTCAAACATAGCATCAGTATTTGAAATTTGAACTTAATAACATCAGTACTTAAAGAGAGTACCTATGGGTGTCTCTCTTCCTGTATCCCTACTTTCATACCTACTCCACAATATTTGTCTTACTCAAAGTTTGAACTTCTACCTCATTTTTATTTCCTTCAGGTGATTCTAGTCACAAGATTCCTATTTCAAATTTTGAATTTGGGCATGACCAAGCAACTGTGTTACACAACCTTTATAGATTTATTCATCCAAGCTCAGGGAACTGGCCACCTATCTACTGCAAGGTAATTTCTAGTTAAGTTCTTTGACAGTGTCCATTTAGATACCAGAAGATCTGCAGAAGGTACCAGAAGAAAAAAGTTTTTCCCTATGTATTAGCTGAATTACTTTCGGTGTAATTAGTATAATGCCTTTTAAATTACTCTGATTTTGGAGGAATTTTGAAGACTACAAAAGTTGAACATATTTCTAGTAGGGTGATACCATATTTTTTGAGTTCTTCCCTCTGAAATACTTGCAGTATCCTTTTACTCTGAAGACCAGATTCTCCACTCTGTACACTATCACTCCACACGAGTTTACCTGTTATTTGAAGGGCGATCCCTTGCCCCCCCTTTTTTTTAGTATTTAAAAAAGATTATGTTCTCTGTTTTACCTAAATTTTGCTAGGCTAGGAGTCAAAAGTTGCATTTCCAACTTTGCTGCTTATTAGTGTAATCCTGAGCAGATTGCCTAATCTTTTTCCTCACTTGTTTATTTCATAAAGTATGTTAACATAGCTGTATAAATATAACTGATTAATAATAGAAGTAGTCTTTTCTCATGTATGTTGCTCTGATAGTTTTCATTTAGTTGTCACAAACTATTCAGTCTCCCTCTTGCACTTTCCCCACACCTACCATTTGTAAGGACAGTATTTATTAATTAAAAGTAAGTCACAGTAGGAGAAAAATGCAAGTAATTTTTTTCCTTCTCCAGTCTGTTGATAAAGCCAGAATCAATTGGTGTTTGAAGCATATGGCAAGGGCATCAGGTAAGTAGAGCTGTGGGTCACTGCAGAAGAGTATTATAGTGTGTTTACATTTTGACATGTGTTTTAAGTATACAAATTCACTAATGTATATGTTTTTCTATTTACCGATGAAAGAAATCAGAAAAGATCTAGAACTTCTCACTGTAGAAGACCTTGTAGTGGAAATCTACCAGCAGAAATTCCTCAAGGAGCCCTCTAAGACCTGGGTTCGAAGCCTCCTAGATGTGTCCATGTGGGATTATTCTAGTGATACAAGGTATTGGTAGTGATTTTTGTCATAATAATTTTTGACTTCTTTTCTGAATTATATTTTCTGAGAAAATATGGTAGGACCAATTGGTTTTGCTTTTTTATGCAATATTTTTATGAAACCTTGGAAATACTATATTTTTAATATAAAATCCCATTGATTCTAAGATACGTTGTTACTTTGTGTGCCACAAAAACAAAAAACAGTCAAATTAAGTGACTATTTTTTATTACTTAGAATTTTTGTACTGATAAAAGAATGTTTTTTAGATTTATGTAGATAATTTTATTTATAATTTAATTTATGTTTTTATTATAGTTACAAAATAATGCAAATGAAATAAATTGGCAAAAGTTTTTTTTTTTTTTTTTTTTAGATTTACTGAAAAGTTATGTCTCTTTATGGTTCCTTTAATCTGGAACAGTTCCCCAGTCTTTTACTTTGATGATCTTGACATTTTTGGAAGAATACAGTCCAGTTATTTTATAGAATGTTTCTCAGTTTAAGTTGGTCTGTATTTCCTC